GGTGTGTCAGAGGCGGTGCGGTTGGCACAGGATAGAGCAGGGTTTAGAGCTGTTGTGCATAGGGTCGCTATGAGTCGGAAACGACTCGATGGCACATAACAACAACAATAATTTGATAAATATATTTTATTTAAATTTGTTAAGGAGGGGTAAAGTACTCCTTCATTTCTTCAGATCTGCTCCAAAGAAATTCAGAGAAACAGTCTCCTGGCAAATTTCAGCAACTTGTTCTCATTAACTACTATCTACTGAGAAAGGAGACAGCTAGGATCTGCTGCAGTAGGAATAGTCTTTGAGTCAGAAGTACTGGATTCCAGTCTCAGGTCTCGAGTCTCAGGTCTTGAGCAAGTCATTTAAATTTCCAGAAACTCTCCTGTAAAATGGGGCTAATGTTCTAAAAGTCAAATGCAAAACATAAAAATTATTTTGCAAATTCTAAAATGCTTAAAAAGGTAAGGAATTATCATGACCTCAGCTCTTTCTGGGCCTGTGTCACCCAACTGCAAGTCTGAACTGATTTGCAAACTCTCTCACTCTTCACCCCAAGGGAAATCTGGGTAGGAGTGGCATGGCAAATTACAATTGCAGCAGGAGTCAAGAGCTTGAGGTCCTACTTCCAGTTTTGCCCAGAACTAGTTCTGTGATCTCATCTCTTATTAGTGCAGCCTCAGTTTCCTCATCTGTGAAATGGAGCCTACCCAGGCCACTTTGGTGAAAACCACAAGCAGCTCTCCGACAGAAGCTGTTCACATCTTCCTCCAAGGTGCTCACCCCAAGGAGCTCATCCACACTCCAGAGAGCTACACAGCAGTCTAGCCAGGACCCAGAGGGCAGGGCACAGGGCAAAATCTGCACAACACAACAGCTGCTTATGGATGCATCTTTCAAGAGTCATTAGCCAAGGCTTCTCAGAGATCATTTACCTGGCTTTTCTTCTGCCTGCCAATCAGATACCAACCACACCCAGACCCATGAACCCCAAAAGGCTGTTTTCCCCAGGCTGGGTGGAGGCACCATTACATAAGGGTGTGTCTCCTTGTCCATTACTAAGTGACTGAAGCTGCTAAAACTCTTAAGAGGTATACATTTCATCCTCTTTCTCCCACCTCTGTGCTGCAAACCAGAGCTATTAGGAGGCCATCACATGCCTGGCTCCCTCTGAGGCACACATGTCCCTGAGGCCCCCAGGCAGAGCT